TTTAGACAGGCTTTCATACAGCCCTTACTGGTCTCAAATTCCTTATGTAGCTGGAAATGACCTTGAACTCCTGATCCTCCTGCCTGCCCCTCTCAAGTGCTAGGATTATAGGCATGCACCACCACACCCAGCTTTTCTTTATAATCTTATGGGATTACTTTTGAACCTGAGGTCTGTTGTTTACTGAAGCATTAAGACAGTGTAGACTGCTGGAACAGCATCTGCCACCATCATGACATACCTCCAAATTCCCTACAATCCCCACACCTAACTCAATGTCTACAGTCCTCATTTTGTTAAGAGAATTTCCTGACATCTTACTCAAAGTCATGCTTTAACTCAGTAGTGACATCCTGCTGCATTGAAAGTTCTGCCAGATGCTCCGTTTTCCTGGTTTACACATTATTATAGTGCAGAGCCAAGTTTTAACTCAGGTTTTTTGAGTTCTACATTTAGGATGTTTTGTTGTTGTTGTTTTATTTTTCTATTTACTTTCACTAAAGGTCTCTTGTTACTGGTCACATGAGCAGGACTGTTGCATCATCTTCAAAGACCAATTTCAGGTGCCTCGGCCTGGGGGTCAGAAGATCCCAGGCTGCCAAATGTTTGATCTCCTTCAAATGCCCCCTGGAGAAGGGGGCAACAGCAGAGCTTTTGCTGGTGTGCTTTGTAGGGATACCAGGTGACTCAGGAAGCAAGCATATCCTTTGGGATGTGGGGTTTTTGCATGAAAGATTCATTTTACATGCATATTAAATATGTAATATAATAATTTCATAACTATGAGTACATACAAATATATGATACATTTATTTATAATAATTGTATGTAGAATTGAATTTATATTATATTATATTATATGTATGACAGGGAGAAATAATAACCTCCAGTTGATTTTTACAAAGGAGTTCAGGACCTAGAAAGAACTAAAATAATTTTCATTATTTTTCCATTTAACAATGATTTTGATTATTAATTGACTCTAAGGAACTCTATGCTTAGAGAATATAATATAATGGAAATAAAACACACACGATCTCTGCCCTTACATCACTTACTTTCTAGTGAGAGAATCAAAGAATTGTATCTTCTGTATATATAACACCCTGTGACCCACTGAAATCAAAAGGTAGATTAAGAACTATTGATTGTTAGTGCCCTGGTAGACTCCTGTAATCCCAGCAGTCTGGAGGGCTACACAGTGAGTTCCAGGCCAGTCTAGGGCATATAATGATAATTTTTCTTAAAATTTTTTATTAAACTTATCCATTTATTTATCATGTATGTATGTGTACTTGTGCGGGCACGTGGCCACAGATTGTGGAGGTCAGAGGGTAACTGTGGGAGTGGGTTCTTCTTTCTACCATGTGGGTTCTGGGGATTGAATTCAGGACATCAGGCTTGGCAGCAATAGCCCTTATCATCTCATTGATCCAGTGAGACTTTGTCACAGTAAATGAATGAATGGTGGATGGATGAGTAAATACTGATCTAACAAGACCAGACTATACATTGCTCTCTGGGGTTTCCTCTCCTGAGCATATCAAGCTCCTCTGAAACAGACCTATGCAAATTCCTATTTGCAGCCTAAAGGTTCTAAGGCCTCAGCTTCTCCACTTTAAGAGGGCTCTGAACACCAGTGCAGTAGTAGAGTAGCCTTTCTTTCCGTTCTGCCTCCCGGTTGGCTGTTTCATGCCCCCTCTCTAAACATGAAAAGCCAAACATGCTTTCCCATCATGGAATTTCCCTCCAAACCACAACTCCTCCGTGCGCAAGACTGTGTGATCTGAAAGCCCCAGAAAGGCAGAGCGACAACAGGTATTGTCAAGTTCTTAAGACTGGTAAACTATCAGTTAGGAGCACTTAGGATATTATTGTTCAGGATTTATCTGAGACTGGTCTTCTGTTTGTTGCTGAGTGGTTTTCCAAGTGTGTATCTTTTGCTTAAAAATGCAAGTGATTTACATAACTCCCCATCTCTAGTCCTTAAACTCTAGAACAATGCAGCATTGTGTGAGGGCAGTTGTTTCTAGTTTTGAATTGGCCTTGTCCTAAATTTACCTATGGGAGTGGGCAGTAAAAAGAAGTGGGGACTTGTTAAAATTTTACAATTCAATGGCAAAGTGACATTCAAATGTATAACTGATTTCTGGGTCATGGCTCTCCAGGCACCAGATTAGATATAGTATGTGCACACAGTATTATCAGGATGACTGGGCCAGCTGACCAGAAGTTTCTGTTGCTAATTCTAGAGGTTGTCACATCCTTGACTATAAGACCAGCTGTGAGAAAAACATGCCCTTTAATTGACTAAGAAGGCACGGTAACAGTTTTGAGTGAAATAAAAAATAAACACAATTTTAGAAAAGATTTTCAACTTAAGGTCATAAATATCACGTGGAGAAAAAAAAATCATGTAATGGTCAATAGTGAACAATTAAATGATTTTTTGTTTTTTTTTGGTCTTTTTGAGACAGGGTCTCCCTGTAGCCCCAAGCTGACCTGGAACTCGCTATGTAGGCCAGGCTGGCCTTGAACTCATAGAGATCCACCTGCCTCTGCCTCTCGAGTGCTGGGATTAAAGGCATGTGCCACCACGCCCGGCCCAAATGATTTTTAAAAAACCCCAGGTGGTAGGCTTGTAACACATGCCTTTAATCCCAGCACTTGGTAGGCAGAGCCAGGTAGATCTCTGTGAGTCCAGACCTGGCCTGGTCTGCATAGCAAGTTCTAGGCCAGTCAGGGCTACATAGTGGGACCCTGTCTCAGAAAATAAAAATAAGCAAAGCACCAATTCCAGATGACTCTCAGGAGACCAGCTGGTTGTTGAAAGGGCGTCTGAATTGGTTTGCATGAAGCTGTTGGCCTCTTTTGTATAACCTGTCATCTTACCTTCATCCCATTCATTTGTATTTTGGCCTTGGTGGAGAGGTGGTGTCCTTCTCTCCTGAGATTTCCTTTGGGTTGGGCTTCAATGGTCTTCTAATGTTAAGAATGAGTTAGTGGTGAGGCAATCCTTCAGATAACATGCCTTTGGCAATCCCCCAGCAATTGCTTGGAAATGAGAAGCAAAAGGGCCTGGACTGGAAAGTCAAACTGGCTTCCCAGAGAGCCATTAAATATTCATGGAAAGCCAGGTCCAGGATTTATGCCCACTGATGAGTTGTTTGTGTGGCCCTTCCATCTGCGGGGCTCAGGTACTGCTGCTCCCTGGTCCAGGCAGAGGGCTGTTTTACATGTGGAGAGACTGAAGCCATCTCATACAGAAAGCTTCCCTTCCTTCGCCCCAGTGAATGTGATTAGGCTGGCTTGGGGATTTAAGTTCAGACCGATGAGCTCCTCAGTTCTTCTGGGAAATGCGGTCTGTCAGGGCTACCAGGGCACTGTCAGGGCAAAAGCACTATTAATTCTATTTTACTATAACTGTTGGTGCATGGCTGCTATCCCTTATTCTCACTCTAGATCACAGGGGAGGGGATAGGGGTCAAGTATTTGCCACCATTAAACCTACTTTTTGTGTGTTCAGCTCTTGCTTTTAGCTCAGTGCCACACCCTCACCCTAGGCACACACACCAAACCGCTCCCTTGCTGTTTGATGATACAATTTAAATGCCTATGTGAATTTCATATACAGTCTAGTCATTGTATCAAGTGTGCACTAAAGTTCAACATTTGCTTAGAGGAAACAAGGAAGTGATGTTAGGAAACGGGTTCCTTAGGCTCTTGTTTGTCTTTAGTCAGTGCCTTTTGTTGTCCCAGCTGTTTTCATAATGACACACACAGGCTTGTCTTTCTGACTCCTTATTTTGAATGCCCCGCTGATATGGACGCCCACACTGAGAATGCATTTCTATCTTTTCCCTAGACAGTAGGGCAAACTCACATGCCAATTTAGGCTGATGTACCTGCTTAGTGCCGTGAGTGATTAGAGTGGGGCCACCTTCTCAGCCCTCATTTGACCCTAACGCATAGGAACTTTCTCATCTGGAATGTAAAACTGGCGAAGGAATGTGCAAATTCCTTCCGTGCAGATTTCAGGAGTACATAATCACTAACAGTAAGAGACAAGATCAGTAAGGACAGCAGTGCTCCTTCAAAATGCTGGAGACAAAGTCTAGTAAAACCAGGAAAGCTGGTTTTCTCACTATATCCTCAAGGAGACCAGGAATGACTTCAATGCTTGAAGTTAGGCAAGGAAAAGGGTTAGGAATCTCCATGTGCTCAAGTGGAAACCAAAGCTGACATCCCTGATTCCCTTTCCTTTCTCTTCCTCCACCAATCTACTAGCAAGCTGGGTTAGTGGTCCCTCCTTTGAAGCTTGTCCTGCTACCCTTTACTTTTTCCTCTCTTCACTGAGGGCATCCTAGCCAAAGCTCTCACCCGACCAACCAGAATACTCCTTCCAACTAGTTTCTGTGTATATATGTATTTTTTTTTTCCATAGAAAGCAGAAAAATAATTTATTCCAAAAGATAATAGAGGTAAAAAATTCATTCTGAAAATACAGTTTGTTGTAAATCTGGGCTAGCTCTTCTCTCTGAGTGTGCTCTCTTCCCTGTCCCGTTGAGTGTTATCTTGCAGCAATTTTAAAGCACACCAGCTGACTCATGTTGTGAGCCGACAAGAGCGATCCTCAAAGCCTCAGGTTCCAAGGCAAGAGTAACAGATTTCTCAGAACAGCACTTTTTCTCTCAGAAGAGTGTAGACATGTTTTAGGGTCAGCTAAGTAGGTACGTCATTCATCAAAGTGTAAAAAAGGTGAAGGAAAAAAAATCCTGGTACTGCAGCCTTACGATCTTCAATTGTAAGGCAATTTACACCCAAAGCAGGTTGTCGAAGAAGGCCGTCTGAGTGTGGAGGTGGCTTTGTATCTAGAAGGCATTTTCTTTGTGACCTGGGCCCTCACTGTGTGTGTGTGGGGGCATCTCTTCTTCCTCAAGGCCAATGGTACTTCAGGTACCAGATGGTTTCATTCTTCAATTGTGATCCAAAGAGAGGGTTGAGCTGGGCCAGAATTGCAATCAGCCAAAAGAGATAGCAGCAAACCAAACAAGTCACCGGCATGGTGATGACTCCCCGATTAGGACCCTTAGGGATGAACCAGGGCACGAGGAGACCCACAAAGCCCAAGAACACGCTCATCAGGTGAGGCTGTGGTATGCCAGGCCGGTGGCCTGGTCTGCCTCCTCGGTCGGCCATCTCGCTAGGACACACCCGGAGGTGTCAACCGTATATATGTATTTTTTGAAACAGAGTCTTAATGTAGCTGAGGCTCACCTCAAACTCATTATGTAGCTGAGGATGACCTTGAACTTCTGATTCTCCTGCCCCTACCTCTCAAGTGCTGAGGCACGTGCTACCACACCCAGTTATGTGGTGCTGGAGCCTGAACCGTGCTTCATACATGCTAGGCACGCTCTCTACCAACTGAGCCACATCCCCCGCCTCCCATGTATATTTTCTTATTTTCTAACACGCCCTGCATGTAGAAGACTGAGAACTCTTTGGCAGTTCCCAGTTAGAGCTTCCCTGGCTGCTCTGGTTCCTGCTCACCTCTTGAGTCTTGGCCCACTCTCCCCTACTCTCATGTCCTCCATTCTATTCTTAAGTTAGTATTTTGATGCTTCAAAGCTTTGGTTTTCACAATTCCCTCTGCCTAGAATGCTTGTCCCTGCTGTATCATATGCCTGGCTTGTTTTCACATTATAGATGCCCACTTCAATGTCCCTTTCTCCAAATTATCTAAGGCAGCAGTACTGGGGGTTAGAGAGATGCTTCAGTGTTTAAGAGCACTTCCTGCCCTTCCACAGAACCTGAGCTTGGTTCTCAGTACTCACATTGGGCTGCTTACAACCACCTGTAGCTACAGCTCCAGGAGATTCAATGTCCTCTTCTGGCCTCCTGGGCATCCAAACACATGTATGCACATAGAAAAATTATAATTAAAATAAGGCAATATTTCCACATGTATATGGAATGCCAGACAGAAAAATAAATAGACAAGCTGGGTATGGTGGCACACACCTTTAATCTCTGTGCTCAGGAGGCAAAGGTAGGTGGATCTCTATGAAATCCATAGCCTTGTATTCATAGTGAGTTCTAGGCTAGCTGTAGCTACAGGGAGACTCTGTCTTAAAAAAAGAAAACGCATAAACAGCCAGGCAGCCAGCCAGGCATGAGCACTCAGGTGGCAGAGGCAGGAGGATCTCCAGTTCAAGGCTAGACTGAGTTACATAGAAACTTTGAGGTCTGGACTGTACAGAGAGACAATAGTATATATATATGTATGCACAGCCCATGCCTTCAGTCCCAGAATTTGGGAGGTAGAAGTAGGCTAATCTCTGTAAATTGGAGGTTAGCCTGGTCTTCATAGTGAGACCTTGTCTCAAATAAAGTAGCAGTATTCCCATCCTGCCCTCTAGTTGCTACCTTACTACTAGTGTATCTTCTCTAGCATGTACAGTAATCAAAGTAATTCTGTTTACTAATCTATTCACATACCTGTTACCCACCCTACTCCCAACAGGTATGCTGGCATGGGGTATTCTTTTTACGCCCTCTAACTTTGGTTTTCTGAGATAAGGTCTCATGTGGCCAAGGCTGGCTTGAAGTTTACTATGCAGCCCATAGTAAACTTCTGATCTTCCTATCTTGAAGAACTGATCTTCCTGTTTCTACCTTCCAAGTGTTAGAATTACATGACATGGGACATTCCTGGGGAGATCTGTGCTGTCTACTCTAGAGCCACTAGAGTCACACGTGGATATCAAGAGCTTGCCATGTGGTAGGTCTGAATTGAATGTGCTGCAAGAACAAAATAATCATCAGATTTTAGAGACATGAAGAAAAAATGAAACGTGTGAAAGAATTGTTTTAAATGTATCTCCTATACATGGTTCACATTTTATTCCTACTATGCAGAGCTGGCTAGATCATCACAGACATTCCTCAATGTGCAAATATGCATTCATGCTTGTTTACTGAACCAATGCTTTATTCCTTTCTATTTTCCCTTTGCAACCCGAAAAAGATAAGTGGCTTTTAGAATTTTTCAACTGTTCATTTCCTTGTTCCATCTGCTTTGAATCAGGAGAAAAACAAAACAAAATCAATACCACCACTACCAACATCAACAAAAGAAATCCCTGGAGCCTTCGGAGCTTCAGCAGCAGGCCAGGGAAGGCGAAGCACAGGCTAGAAGCAAGTGGGTGACCTGGAGAGAGGCAGGACGGAATCAGCCGTTTCCAGCAGCCAGGGTTCTGTCATTGGGGCTAGGAGGTGACATAATCCACGTTGTTCCCAGAACCATTCCGACACAAGCAATAAATCAAGAAACAAGGCAGAAGGGTGGACCTGGTCTCCACCAGTCATGGTGTGCGACTCCCATATTAGGTGAGTCAAGTTACCGGAGGGTATGTTTCCTCTCCCACCAAGGCCCCTGGAAAACAACTTTGTGCTAGTGTGAAGGGGAGAGGGAGAAAGTGCAAGGACTGGAAAAGGCCCTAATGGTCTTTCTTTTCCAGTTTTCCTTCTGAACACCTCCAGACACAGGGGGATTAAAATCTCAAACTAGGAAGAAGAACAAACTTCGTTAACAAGCTCTTCAGCTAGACGTAGTTAATTCATCGTGGGAAGCCTGGGGCACAGTTTAGTCTAAGAAAATTTACTTAAGTATGGAGAGTTTATATAAACCAGAGGACCCACCCTCATTCCTGGGCTAGGTCAGTGGATGGAGGGAGGTGGTAAGGAATGAGAGAAGGTTGGCTTGTTCCCGGGACAGGAGAACCCAGGGTCAGGGTGAAGTGGGCCCAAGGCTTTACTGTCACAGACCAGGGCTTCTACTCCCTTGTTCCTTTCTGTCAATGTCACCATCCCCTCATTCAACAGATACTGAGGGCCTACCATGAGTCAGGACTTTGCTAGGCCTATAAATTGACTCCAACTTTGAACTAAGTATGTAAGTGCTCCAACTTCTTGAAACTTACATTCTGATCAAGAGCAAATAGTGACAGTTCTGTGAAGCTACTCAAGTGGCCTGTCAGCAAAGACCTTTCTGAAGAGTGACATTTAAGCTAAGTCCTGGAAGAAGACCTTCCTAGCTGCCTTCCTCACATCTTGGGTATCTTATGAGTGTACTTATCTATCCCTCAAATACTTAGGGACCACACTCTGGCCTTTGGTGGCCTTTTCCTGGGACTGTCGAAAAGATGCTTAAGTCAGGACCCTTCCCTGGAGGAATCTGCAACAGAGTCGGGGAGGCGGAGGCTGACAAGTCAAGAAAGCACCAATAGAACATGGTGCAAGGCATGCAAGGTGGCCATGAGGATCTTCCATGTCCACACAGTCTGTGTCTAGTAAGTTGCTGACACCTGTCTGTCTAGTAGTCTGGGATGCCTCTTTTCTCTAGGGATCTTACAACTGCAGACAGAAGGCACACATTGACGAAATATTCAGATTATAGTACTAGGATTGAATGATGATCCCAAGCTCTCAGTTTTGCACCTATTCAGAGAGGCCATTAAAGCTTTTCAAATCAAGTAGGTTGCCCTAGCTCCTCATCCTTACTTTTTTTAGATCTTACCCAGGATAGGGCAAATTACTGGTGTGGTGGTTTGAAGGAGAATGTCCCCCCATAGACTCCAAGTATTCGGAACTGGGGACATTTTTGTCCCCAGCTGATGGTGTGGTTTTGTGAGGTCTTAGAAGGTATGGCTGTGCTGGAGGGAGCACATCACTTAGAGCAGGGTTAGAGAGTTCTTAAGTTCATCGGTGACCTTGTGATACTTTTCCCTCATCCCTTTGACTTCTCATGAGAGCACTGTCATAAAAGAAGTCAGCTGTTTTTCTCTTGCTGCAGCTGGGGATGCGCGCCTGTGTACACACCGGTGGTGATGTGCTGCCGTCTGCCTCCTTTACCCAGAGGCCAACGCAGTAGTGACCTATCAACCTGAGACTATGAACTTCCAAAGTTGTGAACTAAATGAACCTTTCTCTTTATAAATTAACTGCCTCTATGAAGTTAAACAATACTTGCACGTTTGCTTTTTCTTCAGGGTCCCGTGAGAGGCTCTGGAATTAGCACTATTTTTTTTTCTTTCCTTTCAGATAAGAGTTGGAGTTTATTGAAAGTTCAACATAATTCAATATAATATATTGTATGAAAATTGCAAACTCAATAATTAAAAAAAAATCATCCTTTGGCTTTGATGGGGGCGTTTAACTTCGCTTCCTTAGTTCTCCAGCATTTTTGACTCTTTGTCCTTTAAAATCCTTATCTTCCTTTAAATAACCTTTAAAACAGATGTTCTAAGGCAGGTGTGGCGGTGCATGCCTATAATTCCAGCTAAAGTAGGAGAACTGCAAAGTTTCTGCCAGTCTGGGGTCCATAGTGAATTCCAGGTCAACTGGGTTGTACTATAAAGCCCCTGGCTGCCAGTTTCTTGGTGTCATTACCAAAGAGGAACTGGCGGAATGCACCAGGTTTATACATCAAAAGCACCAAAGGTGGGCCTCAGTGCCTGTATTAAGGCACATCCTGATAAATCCTAGTGTTACCCAAACAAACAAGAAAACCCCAAAGAAACAACAAAATCAAACCAAAATCACACACACACACACACACACACACACACACACACACACGCACACACACACACACTCTCACACGCAAAACCCAAAGAGAAAACAAACAGAACAAAATGTTCCTTAGAAGTGCTTGGTTTTCTCTTTTATTCTTCTCTTTCTTTTGTTTTTACATTTATATGTGCATAGTATGTATGTGTATATGTGCAAATGTATGTATATGGAGGTCTAGGGACAACCTATGGGAATCAGGACTCGGTCTTCTCCTTCCACCATGTGGGTCCTGGGATTTGAACTTGGGTTGTCAGATTTGAAAGCGAGCACCTTTACTCACTGAATCATCTTGTAGCCCGTTTTTTCAACTCATTTCCTTCATAGTGTTGTGGTATCAACAACCAAAATCATGGCTGCAGGTGCCATAAAACATGAATCAGGCTCTCAAAAGTGTATATCTCTCATCTCACATGTCTTTAAATTGCCTGTTAGACTTGCACTGGAAGAATTTAACTCCTAAACTAGTTCTCCTCCCATTAGCCCTTGGGGATTAGCATTATCAAGACTCTAGGGGCTGACTAGACTGCTGCTCCTTGTTATTCAACAGAGACATATTGACCCTTTACTATGTTCTAGGCACTGGGCCTTGTATTAAGGGTATAGTCCTACTCACTAGGGAGCCATAATCTAGGAGACAGGTAGACACTCAGAAATAACCTGCATGAGGCAGTCAGAAGGACATGTATAACAGGAGCATATACAAACTGCAAGATGCACAGAAAACTCGATGGAGGGGCAGTGTGAAAGATGGGATCTGAGAAGGTAATATTTAAAATGGGAATTTCCAGCTGGGCGTGGTGGCACAGGCCTTTAATCCCAGCATCTGGGAGGCAGAGGCAGGCAGATCTTTGTGAATTTGAGGCCAGCCTGGTCTACATAGTGAGTTCCAGGACAGCTGGGGCTACAAGGAGACCCTGTCTAAAAAAGACTAAAAAAAAAAAAGGAATTTCCGAGATAGACAAGAGAGGAATGGCTCTTTAGGCACTGGGAATGGCATGTGAAAGGCATGGCTGTGTGAAACCCAAGAGCATGTATGAGAACACAGCATCACTTTGTTACTGATAGAGTATCAAGTGCGAGGGAGTGGGGCTTGTAAGAGATGGATCTGTAGAAGCAGGGAGCTGCCAAACCTCAAAGGTCTGTGCAGTCAGAGTGTGTGCTACAATAAGAGTAAAAGGCGCTCCAATTTCCAAAGTACATTGTACCTACAAGACTCCCAATGCTCAATCCATCTGCATTATTTGCTCTCTATTGCAAGGAATTGAGGGTTGGATCCCAGATGCGGTTTAGCTAAAATCTACACCCAGGATTCCTGGATTGAAAAGCCTATGTGCTTGCCTTTTCTTTCTTTCTTTCTTTCTTTCTTTCTTTCTTTCTTTCTTTTAATCCATCCATCCATCATCCATCTATCTATCTATCTGTCTATGTATCTATCTATGTATCTATCTACCATCTATCTATCATCTAATGATTGGTTTAAAAACCAAGCTCAACAACTGATAAACCAGTAAAGGAAATGTAAACACCGAGCAACAAAAAGAAACAAAATGTTGATGCATGCTATAGTACAGATACATTTTTAAAACATGCTAAGTTAAAGAATCCATTCCCACTGGGTGGTGCACTTGGGAGGCAGAGATAGGCGAATCTCTGTGAGCTCAAGGCTAGCCTGGTCTACATTGTGAATTCCAGCCAGGTGGGCTACAGGGAGACCCTGTCTCAAAACGAAAAAAAAAAAAAAGAATCCATTCACTACAGACTGCCTAATCTATGATTCAATGTATAGAAAATGTCTATAAAACAAATCTACCTGAGACAGAAAGTAGAGTGGTGAGTGGTGACTGCTTAGGGGAAGGGGATTATGAGGGAGGAAGTGGAAGGGTGACAGCCAAAGGTGGGGAGTTTCTTCTGGAGGTAATGAAAATATTTGAAAAATGGTTAGCATGCTGGACACAATTCTAAATACATTAAAGCTATTGAACTGTGAACTTCAAAAGAATAAATTTCATGGATTATATTTCAGAAATGCCCTCTTTCTTCCTTCCTTCCTTCCTTCCTTCCTTCCTTCCTTCCTTCCTTTTCTTTCTTTCTTTCTTTCTTTCTTTCTTTCTTTCTCTCTCTCTCTTTCTCTCTCTTTTTTTCTTTCTTTCTTTCTTTCTTTCTTTCTTTCTTTCTTTCTTTCTTTCTTTCCTTTTCTTTCTTTTTGTTTAAAAAAAAAGGCCGGGCTTGTGAGATAGTTCAGTAACAGCAGTTGTCACCAAATCTGACGAACTGAACTTGATCCCCAGAATTCGCACAGTGGAAGGAGAGAGCTGACCCCTCAAGTTGTCCTCTGATCCCCATATACTTACTGTCACACCCATGTACCAACACAATAAACAAACAAATATAATTAAAATAATACTATATAAAGTAGAGAAGCCTGAATGTGCCAGGGCAGGAGAGAATGAGAGATGATGACCTCTGCTTCTGTTAGCAGGGCAGGAGGGTGAGGCTCCCTCAGCCACAGTGGTGGGCAGATCTTGCCTGCCTTAGGAAACAGCCAACTCTCATTGGAGTACAACTCTGAGTCAAGTCAGAGACTTTTCCTGCCATAGTCACCCCTTTCCTTGGCTTCCCATGTCTTCTAGCCTGCTTCCCATTCAGCAGCATTCAAACCTAACCTTGTCAGTTCCCTACTGCAATCTTTCCAGGGTCTCTAAGACCTACCTTTGATGGTGTGGCTCTTCCTTCCTCTGGCTCTGTCTTCCACATGTGTGCAGAGTGACACAGAGTGTCTGCATCTTTGGAGGTACTGGAATCCCTGGATTCCCTTCCCTGCCTTCCTAACCAACGCCTTCCTAGCCTCCAGGAGGCTCAGATAGTACTTTCAAGAAGGCTTGCACTTCTCCAGGCTGTCCAACAGCCACTCAACCTTCCAGCCCTTCCTTCCTTCCTTCCTTCCTTCCTTCCTTCCTTCCTTCCTT